CATCAACGAGGACATGATCAGAGGTACTTTTGGTCATCAACGAGGACATGATCAGAGGTACTTTTGGGTGTCTAAGAGGACATGATCAGTGGTACTTTTGGGCGTCTAAGAGGACATGATCAGAGGTACTTTTTAAAATTGAAGACGACATTGTTAAAATTACTTTTGAAGCTGCGGCACAGCATAAACAGTCATTGCAACAAATGTTTAACCAGTTTTTTAAAGCAGACAAGGGCGTCAGTGTTGCTTTGCGACACGTACTCTCTAGTTTTTTTTAAATTTTTAAGCATTGACTGGTGTCATTTGGTTGATCGGCATTGTCCGACGGCTTGGAACACAACAAACTTGTGAGTTGTGTCCTAAGCCGTCGGTGTCGATCAACCAAATGACATTAGCTTTTAACATTCAGGGTTTACTTGATGGGTTTATTTGAAACATTGGTGAACAGTTTTGTTCAGTATCATTTTAAAAAAAGTCTATCATAAAATACTTTTAGTAGTCCAGTCAACTCAAATTTAACACCAATAGATAAATGTTAGTTACCGTTGCATTTATAAAAAACTGCGGCTTGATATCATTAAAAATGTAATTTCCAGAATCATGAATGTAAACGCAAAAAATCATATAGAACTTCAAGAGGGATTTGCACAAAAATTTTAAAAAACTCTAATAATTACTTTTTTTGGTCAAATCAACCTAAGTTTAAAATTGATAAATGACATTTAGCATAGCTTTCAAGTAAAACAGTTTTTAAAAATCATAAAAAATGTAATTTATATAATCATAAATGTAAACGCAGAAAATCATATGGAATTAAAAAAAGAATTTTTATAAAATTTTAAACTGGTCAAAATAATTACTTGCATTACTTAAATTAACCTCAACTTAATATTATTAGATAAGCACTACTTTGCATTGTTTTTAAATAAAACTTAATTTTTTAATCTTGAACGATGTTATTTATAGAATCATAAATGTGAACACAAAAAATCATAAAGAATTAATATAGAAAATTTTAAACTGGCCATATTAATTACTTTGAAAAATTGAATTCTGCTAAATTTTACGCCAGTAAATACATATTCGTAATTTAAGTATTCAGGCAAAAACCGCAACTCGATAACTTCACGGTGTATTTTTTAAAGTCAAAACAAATCGTATAGAGCTTATTAAAAAAGTTCGATTTTATGATCTTAAAAATGCATCCGGTGTTTGAATCACCCCAAGTTTAGTATTATTTAAAAGATGCCATTTAGCTTTATTGTTGTGTGAAAACCGTTTCTCAATATCTTGAACGATGTAATTTATAGAAACAAAAAAGTGCGTTTAGAAAAATGGAAAAACATCCTTTTTTTTAGGGAAGTTAGATTTGCAGTAAGAAATGAACAAAACATTTGTGTGTTTATTTTTAATGTGTTTGATCACTGTGCTGTACTGTGTTTGTAATGATTTTAACAATCAATATTAAAAATGTGAATATGAAACAGCTTTCAAAAACCGCGTTTCAAATTCAGTAGAAAAATTAAAAAAAACAAATTAAAAAGGATGATAATAAAGAGGCCAAAATGTGATATTTCGTGTTGGGTGGAGTTTGTGAACTTTTTTTACGAAATAATATTATGATAGTTGTTGATAAAAACATTGATATTGAATCAGCAAAGCAAGAAGAACATTGTTTTTTGTTTTGCATTTATTAAAATTAAAAAAAATTTTGCGTAAATATTTTTGTTTGTTTGTTATTTGAAACTTGTTCAGCTGTTTGGCGAGTATTTGCTGCTTTGGTAACCAACAAAATATTTGAAAAAAAATTATAAAATAAACGGCAATAAACTTGTATCATGATTGGCGCAAGAACGATAGAATTAGAGCGCATAGAAGTCACAAAATGATTAAATTTGAATAAAATGGATGATAACAAGTGAACAAATCAAGTGTGATGATAAGAGTTATGCAAAGTAACCTTTTTATAATTTCTGGTTTTTGTGCAAAATTGGAAACGTTTGGCAAATGAAAAGGTGATAGAAAGGAAAGGGGTGAAAATGGAATGAGGTGAAAATGGAATGGGGTGAAGTTAAGTTAGTTGACAGCAGATGTGGAGACACAATGATGAACATGACGTTTGGACATGGACAAAAGGGAAAGACAAAAGTTAAAACAAAACAAGGACAAAAACGTAAAAAATCAACAGAAATAAGTATCACGATGAGGGCAACAATTAGTGAAAATGAAAAAATGACATTGATGTTAATAATGTGTTGAAAAATTTGAAAGATTAGGAGAAAAAAGTGAAAAAATAAGCAAAAGTTAAGTTAGAAAGTGTGTGTGTGCTTGTGACTGTTCAGATTATAAGTATTCAATTATGATGATGATGGTGGTAATGATAAGAAAGTGTGAAAAAAATTGATCACATTAAAACAGAAGTCATTTGAACAGAGGCTTTAGAAAACTAAACAATTGCGTTTGTGTTTGTTAGTTTTTTAAATATTCTATTCAAAAGGAATGTGTGTGTTTGAGTTTTATCAATTAATAAATTAATGTGTGTTTATCTGTGTGTTTGTTGTCTGTGTGGCAAGAATCAAAATCAAAGTTAATCTGATCACAATAGAAAAGAGGAAAAAAAGATAAAATAAAAAAATCGCTATTTGATTAGTGTCTGACAATTTAGTTTACACTTTGTCAAATTATTTTTTTCATTTTATCTCAACGTTTCCTCTTTTCAATGTCACAGTTGCAGACATATTTGACATTTGTTTGATTCTTTTATAACAGCAACAAAAAACAAACAAAGATTAGAATGTACAAAAGGAATAATATGGAACAAAAATGAAGATAAGTTTTTTGAAAAAACAAGAAGTATAAAGAATAGCAAGGAATAGAAAACAAAAAAGTTTAAACAATAAAACAAGTTAAAAATTCAATGGAGAATCACGATGTGTGGGTCTGCCAGATTTAACCAAAAAGGTGATTTATAAGGTTAAGAAAAATGGAAGTTAAGAGATTGATGTGAGACAATCAATGAGGAGTTTGTTGTGGTCGGTTTGTGTGTTTGTGAGCAAAAACGCTAGTGAGCTAAAGAAGAGAGGAGAAGAAAGAATAGCAGGAAGAGATCAACATGATCGTAGATATTGTTTGTGTTTGTTTGTGTAAATAAAAATGATGGCAATGATTATGATGACGGTTGTTGCTGGAATGTATCAGTTACTGTCGGATGATCCAGGAACTAGAAGCTGATGACTCAAAGAAGTTAGGACAAGAAATTTTAACCAATGCGATGATGGCGCCGACACCTTTTTACGCGTGGTACTGTAGCAGCATCAGCAGAAGCAGCAGAAGCTAGTAGAAACCTAAATGAACCCAAAACTTCTCCTCTTCTTTCCTAAGGAAAAAGACACCCCTGTTTACTGCCTCGTGCCCTACAGAGAGGTGAGCGTACCTCCGGTAAGGCTGTTTTTGCCACTGCTGCCTCCGCTGTTTCCTCCGCCGCCGGTGCCTCCCCCTCCTCCGCCGCCTCCATTGCTGCCACTGCCACCGACCACGCCAACGCCAACGCCCACTCCAACGCCCACTCCTCCGCCATTCAAGTCGGTGATGATGTCCTCCTGGTCGACAGTACTAGTGGTCGGTGGGTGTGGCGGGTGGCCAGAGTGGTGCACAATGGAGTGCTTCAGCTGCAAAGGGGCCGGTTGTTGCTGCTGCTGGTGGTGGGAGTGGTGGTGGGAGTGGTGGTGGTGGTGATGGTGGTGAGGTAGGTGCGGCGGCAGCGGGTCCTGCTGCGCCGAGGGCATAAAGGTGACCACAGTGCCACTGCCTGGGCCGTGGCCCCCACCGCCCCCGTGTTCGCTGATCAGCACGGTGCCCTTCTGAATGGTGCTTCCACCAGTGCCACTGCCTCCGCTTCCGCTCCCACTTCCACTTCCGTTTCCACCGCCATTTTCAGCCACTGGGCTTTCACCACCACCAGTGGTGGAAGTGGTGGTGGTAGTGATGACGGCAGCTGCGGCCACCATGGTAGAGGAAGCTGGTCCGTTTGCGTTTTCCCCTCCTCCCCCTCCACCTTCAACGTTAACGTTGATAATGGCCGTGGCGGTGATCAGATTCGGTCCAGTTCCGGCGGAAGTACTGGCGCCGGCGTTGATGGCCGTAGTAGTGGCCGTCGCCGCGTACACCTTATTGTCTCCCTCTGAAACGCCCAGCTTGACGTGTTCTGGGAGGTTTCAAAAGAAAGAAAAGGGTAAAAAGAAAGATTTAGTGAAATGAAACAGTCAACAGTTTGAAAGCTTTTTAGCAAGAAAAATGAAAATAGAAAAAGGAAAAAATTGAAAAAAGCCCAGCGCAAGAAAATGATCGTACTACCGTGATTTGAAGAGGTGGTGGGGACGCTGCTGCTCGTGGCGGGTTGCTTCTTGTAGGTGGCGCTGTTCATCGTCAGCTTGCGCACATTCTTGTCCGGGTGCACGAGGATGATGTACACTTTGGGAAAGAAGAGACAGAAGAGGGCGACGTAGGCGGAGAGCGAAATGGAGACGCAGAGAGTGGTGATTTGGATCTGAATTGATTAGTGGGAGTGAGATAAAAGTGAAAAGCAGTTAGAAATGTGCCTGATGGTAAGTTTTTTAACTGCTCCAAAACAGCTGCTCTGTTACCTCAAAGCTGTTTCCGGTGCCGAAGTAGAGCGGGACGAAGGCAAGCCAGATGATGCAGGTGGTGTACATGGTGAAGCCGATGAACTTGCTCTCGTTGAAGTTCTCCGGAATCTTCCTCGTCTTGATGGCGTACAGTGTGCAAGTAGTGATGAGCATCATGTTGAAGGAGAGCGAGAGGAGGAAGCTGCTGTCACGGACGCGACACTTCAGTATCACCTCGGAACGCTTCCCATCGGGGTAGTACTTTCGCACGCCGGGCACTTCTAACAAAAACCAAATTAGGGTACCCAAGGCCTGAGATATAAAAAGATGTTAATGAAAAAAGTTTTGACAACGTCGTTTAATAAAGAAAGAGGGACTGAAAAAAATACTGTACCTGGAGCATCATGATGATAAAGGTAATGATCACCTGCGAGCGAGGGCTGATAAAGCTGGGCCGTCGGGCGGTCTTGCGAGCGCTGTCAAAGATGCGCGATATGCGATTGGTCTTGGTCAGCAGGGCGCCGTAGATGATGGAGAAGCCAAAGCCAACCTAAAAATAAGACAAAAAAATTTAAAATTAAAAGCCGTTTATTACAAAAACACCGCTTGCAAATAGTGCAGCAAACCACCACCACCACTTACCCCAAAACGCTGCAACGAGCAGCTGAGCAGCGTCGGCTTGGCCAGCAGAATGAAGGTGTTCAGAAAGCAGAAGCAGATGCCGGAGAGGAGGATGAAGCTGAGCTCCCGACCGCTGGCCTTGACAATGGGCGTCTCGCTGTAGCGGAAGAAAATGGCCACCACGAAGACGGTGAGGCCCATGCCGAAGACGGAGACGCCGATGGCGATCAGCGCATAGGTGGAGTCCCACTTCATGTAGCGGAGCTCCAGGTCGAAGCAGTCGGCCTTGTCCGGGTAGGGCCACCGGCCCTCGCCGCAGTCCAGGCACTGCGACTCGTTGGCCACAAACTCGTACGGCTTGCAGGCGGTGCAGATCCAGCAGCACTTGTCACCGGCCTGGACGATCTTGATCTCGCCCACGCCGCAGGGTTTGCTGCACACCGACTCGGGCACCGATAGCTGCACCAGGTCGCCGAACTTGTTCTCAAAGTGGTGCTGCGCCAGGTGATGGCCGGTGGTGGTGTCCGCCTCGGTGAAGCCAAAGTTGATCTTCTCCTGCTCCAGGTCGAGGTACTGGTCGAACCATTCGCCCACCTAAACAGGTGATGATGATGATGATAATGATGATAGAAAGTAATAAGGTAACGAAGAAGAGTTGTAGATTGTAAAGAGAGATTGCAAAAAAAGCGGTCACCTTTTGGTAAACAAAGTTGCCCTCGACGTTGCGCTGAAAGTTGTAGATGTTGTAGCGGCCGAGACCGTCGCCGTTCTTGTCAAACTTCATCTCGCTGCCGGCGAGGTCTTATTTAAGTGATAGTAGTTAGAAAGGCAAAAACTATTAGAACTTGCTCAAGGTTTACTCAGTTTCATTTTGATCCCTCTTTTGTCCTTGTTTCCTCGCATTCTTACCGATAAAACTGACATTGAGCAGGTACTGCTTGTAGAAGTTCTCCCCATCGAGCTCCTTCAGGCGATTGCAGTAGCCCTGATGCGGCTGACAAAGGTCGGTCCAGGCGTGGTGGAGGGCGTAGGCGAAGGAGTACACCGCATCCACCACAAACTGCACTTTTGACTCTTGGATGTACCCATTGGAGGCGGTCATGCGCTCCTCCGAGGAGCAGATGGGAATTGACAGGTTTTCAATGGGATCGTCCACAAAACGGCAGCCAAAGGTGTCACGCCAAAACTCCTTGAACCAGGGGTTTCGCCTAGGGGAGGAGAGAAAATCATGATCAAAGTGATAAGATTATTTAATTGACTGGAGCGCACAAAAAAACCGAGCGAAGCGAGGTTTTTTTGTAAGTGACAGTCTACGATTTGGTCAAAATTGGTGGAAAGTTTTGGCTTGTCCAGCCTAATTCTTTTAAGCAGCTGTACCGATTGCCACCAAACTTGGCACAATAAAAGCTAAGTCCTGTGAAAGTTGCAACCTGTTTTTAAAATTAAAATACTCCCAGCCGTTTGGGAGCTAGGGCTAGTCAAAGCCAAAAAAAATTTTTTTATGGGAAAAATACATGGAGATATTGCGTCATCGCTCGCGAGGAAAGGGGTTGGTTTCCAGCAAAAAGCTTTTTAACGGCTGGACCGATCATTCTCAAACTTGGCACAGTAACAGATTAAGGCTATAGAACAAGGAACCTGCTTTCAAATTTCAAATCTACTAAGTACTTTTTGAGCTAGGACCGGTTAAAGTTAACCTAAGTTTTCCTATAGACAACACGTTGAGAGCGTGCGCGCACGTGGCATGTACAGCCAAAGGCAGCGCTACTGTGAGCAGTGCTGCTAGCAGACAGAGTGCGCGCATACAGGGGAGCACTGTGGTTGTGGAGGAGCGGTGAACTACACAAGGCGGCGAGGTCTGCAGCGACTTGACCGATCACCAACGGCCAACGACGAGGGTCTTGCGAGCGGGCCCGAATACGCGGGCGCTGGTGGTCGGTCAAGTCGTGTCGGGTGAGCCGCCGACTAAGTATTCGACGTATGCTAGCGGTGCACGACTAAAAGCGGCGAGGTCTGGCACCACTTGAACACTTAAAACTTCTGCTGCCTCGAGTCCCGCGAGCGAAACGAGCAAAGCCCAAGGCGCGCGGAAGTTTTAAGTGTTCAAGCGATGTCTGGTGAGCCGCCGGTAAAGTGATCCCTAAACCCTAGCGGTGCACGGCTTAAGGCTACGAGGTATGAGTGAGCGGGGCACGAGGTTTATGTGTGTTTTGGGGTAAGTGGGATTTTTTTGGGGCGCCGCTTCACGCTCCAGTCAAAATCTACTAGTGGAACACCTGGAGATCCCCTAGTTTAATAGCTTTTTTACTGTTAATTTTGAAAAATCAATGAATCGAGTTCTACTTTGGTCAGTAGCTTTATTTTAATTTTTTTTGTCATACAAAAACTAACATACTTTTTATCCAAACACTACAGTGTGAATAATAAACTTGAGTAGACATTTTTCCTGATAACCCTTCTGCTTGATCTGTTGTTGCTGTTGCCTGATTAAACACTTAAAATTTGCAAACAAATTAAACCGCCAACAAAGTTTCCCACCATCCGTCAGTTGTGCAAAGTTTTGCAAGTTGCTTTTAAAAAGGTTAACTCGAAATGCATTGCATATTGCGCTAATATTTTTGTTTTTGTTTCAAGCAATTTGTTTTGCTCAATAACTGATAATTAAAATTGTGGTAGCAACAGCAATAGCAACAGCAATGGCGAAAATTTTTAATTTGGTTTTCTCATACAAGCTTTTTTTGTTAGTTAGCAGCAGTCTGCTGACTACAGCGACTTATTGAGCTTGAATTAATTTGCCAGCTGTTACAAAGAGAAAAAGAGTTTGTAGTAGCTGAAATGGCAAAACCTGACTACTAGTATTTGATCCGTTTTTATCTTACACTTTTTTCTGCAAAAATCCTAAAATTTCATTTTTCTACCTGGGCACATTTGCTAAACTTTTGTAAAACTACTTTTTTATCTTTTTTGCTTCTAATTTGCAATTTTTTTGTATCTTAGCTTGACGTTGTCAAAAGAGAGATTTGCAATAATTGTAATAATAATAATACAATATATCATATAATAAAATCTAATTACTTAATTAGAAAGTAAAACTGCAGTAGTGCAAGCAATAATTAAAGTATACTCTTTAAAAGAAAATACTCTCGAGAGATGCTTTACCAATATTTTTTATTTTTTCTATTATTGGAGCACGGTAAAAAAATATTTCTATTTTTAGAGAACTGTGTTTAGCATTTAAAAAATACTTTTAAAATTTTTTTTAAGATTTTAATTGATTTAATTAATTTTTTATTTTGATTTATATTTTTGATTTTACCACAAACACATTTGCAAAAAAATATAAAATTTTAACTACAAACAAACATTTGACAGACGTCAACTTTCAGTTGCAAAACTAATAACAAAAAGCATTTTTAAAAACTCAAAAAAATGTAACAGCAACATTAAAACATTTTATGTAGCTACACAATTTGTAAAACAATTTTGTTTTTTTGTTTTAAAATTGCTCTGCTAACCTGCTACAGTCTTTAGCACATTTAGCTATTTGACTTTTCCATTTTCCAGTAGTCCAATTGATCCAACTGGTGTTTAAACTTTGTTTTACTTTTATTTTTTGCTGTTGCAAAAACGCGCTGAGGTGCCGTCGCAAACTATAGTTCACCAGTTCACTCACTCACTCACTTGACATGCCAATTTTTTAGTCTGTGTGGCATTGATTTAAAATTTAAATTCACTTTTTGTTACTTTTTTTGCGTTTTTGCAAATGCAGTTCTCTTTTTACCTCTTTCTCTTTTCCCTTTTTTGCACCCGTCAATTCGGCATCTCAAAACCCAAGTTGGCATACTCACTTTTAGTTTTTACTAGTAAAAAGCGGGAAAATCGTGCATATTTGTCGACCTGTTTTGCATTTTGGTTTTTTCTGCAAGCAAACCTTTTTTCCTTTCTACGGCAACAGTCTTTACCACTGTCGCCGACAACTCACTCAAATTTATCGTTTTTTTCTTTTTTACTCTCATTTAAACACCTTTCATTTTTTAGCTCTTGTCAACTGTTTTCTATTTTTGTAAAGACAAACTTGACAAACTTTGTGTCAGGAATCTAGTTTATACCGTTTGTGTAAACGATGTTAACTGTAGATGACTGGGAGCAGTTTTTAGTTGGTTAGTCTCAATAGACATCTTTACACTTATAAAAATAGAAATAACAAAATAAAACTAATAATGAATAAAAAATGGTTATTTAGACTGCTGATTAAAATTTATTTAAATTAAGAAGCCCTGAGTGAAAGTGAACACAAGCATACGTAGTCCAAACTGACTTTAATGGAAAAGAACAGCTGCTTATATACACAAACAGGTGACGTAACTTTAATTTTTTCAAAGCCACGTCGCTAACGGCCTATGGGCCGCTACTATTACTGTTTGTCAGCACTGTTTAAAATGTTTAAAACTACATTTTAAAATTAATTTAAACAAATTTTTGAGTTTTTTATGTACGTCACCTTTTTGCAATAATTTAATTTAATTTTACTTTTTGCTCAAAATACAGGCAATGAAATAAAACGCTGCATTTTTTCAATTTTCCAAAAGCAACCTCTTAACAACAACTTTTTGTCAAAATTTGATTAACTAAATCTAGGCAATTGTTGTTAGCTTCTCTGCAAAACACCTTCTAGCTTTCTTCCTCTAACTCTATTCCTCTCCACACTTCTACAACCAAAAGAAACAAGCACAAACAAACAAATTGCGTATCCCCCACACTCACCGACTGTGATCCTCCGTCAGATTTCCAATGTGGTAGTTGAACTCCTCAATTTCATTGGTGGCCAACTCTACGGTGATCGCGCCGTCGGCGGCGTCCTCCACGCCCTGCACCAGCTTGTCCTGCTTGCCCCAGCCGTCGGAGGCGATGAAGCTAAAGTGGCGCGTGTAGTTCTGCGCCATGGCCGCCTCGAGGAGGCCGCGGTTGTCCTCCGCCCGGAGAAACAGCACCACGCCCCTCGCATTCGGCTTGGTGCGCAGGTTCTGCAGAATGGAGTTGTAGTAGGCGGCGTCGGCGTTCTGCGGCACCTTCTCGTTCATGGCAATGCAGATGGAGCGTTTCTTCGCCTCGCGGAGGAAGGCCGTCATGCCCGAGTCGCCGTACTGGCCCTCGCTGGTCACCAGCGAGACGTAGCTCCAGTTGAAGCGCTCCACCAGGTCAACGAGGGCATTGGCCTGGTAGGTGTCCGGCGGAACGGTCCGGGCGAAGAAGTCGTAGCGAGACTTGTCCGACAGCGAGGTCCCAGTAGAGGCGTAGCTCACTTGCGGAATCTTGAAGAGCCGCAGCAGATTGGCCACTTGAAGAGAGACCTAAAAACCGAAATAAATATGACAAACAAAAAATAATCATTAAAAAAATGTGTGTGATTATTTTCAAGCTAGTTTACACTTTGCAGTGTTGTTTTTAAACTGTGTAAACTGCTTTAGTAGAGTTTTTTAAGAAAATAAAATTATAATTTTTGTATGACTTGTCTTTTGTTTTTGAGTATTTAAAGTTTATCAAATGTGTTAAAAATATAAATATTTTTTTATTTATGGCTAAAAACAATAACAAAGTGAACATTTGGTAGTGGCAGTTGTGGTGATGATAAAAAATTGGTTTGCAGGTTGAGTAAAAAAGGAGAAAGAAAGAAAAATGGTTAACTGATTTGTCAAACATCAATTGGAAAAGTACTCTTACTTCACCACTACTACCACCATCACCACTAACACCAAAACCCATTTCTAGGCTGAATATTTACTGCCAATTTTAAAAATTGGCCAAAAGCAATGCACAAAAGCACAAGTTTGCTTTTTGATGTTGTAAAAAGTAACAATTTTCAAACAGTTTTGCCAGCAAAACTTTATTTTATCTATTTTACTTTCGCTACTTTTAATGCTGGTTATGAGAAAAAAACACTTTCTCGATTTATTATGCCAATAAATTGTGACTGTGTGTGTGCGTATTTATATTCAATAACAATGAAAGGCCGCAACAAGGAAATCAAAACATAAAATTTATAGTAACTTCGGCGTTAGCACAGCAAGAAAAAGAAAGAAAACCGCATCGATAAAAAAATGGAAAAAAATGTAAAAACTATAAAAAATAACAGCAGTAGAAAAGTGCGTAGTACAAATAAAGCAAATTAAAAAATGATTTTTTGTTTAAAAATGAAATTTTCAGTCAAAAAACGACTAATTTTAGTGAAAAACTAAGTGTTTATTAAATATTTACAAGGGCTCAGTCGAGCTCGCTTCGCTCACTCCTACCTTAACTATGCACCGCTAACATTTCGTAAAAGTTTGGCCAGCGGCTCACCCTGACGCTCGCTCCGCTCGCGAGACCCGAGTCGGTGGACGTTCACAGTGCCCAAGTGTCGTCAGACCTCGCCGCTTTGGACTGTGCACTGCTACTTTTTTGCACAGTTGCGCTCTCATTGATTTTTTTTCTAAATCTAAGATCATGGTAAAATTGAATCAGTTAAGCAACGGCTCACGCTGGCGTCACTTGGCTCACCAAAAACGCCCACCGACTCGGACCTCGCGAGCAGAGCGAGCGAAGCCCTCGTCGGCGGGCGTTCTTGGTTGGCCGAGTGACGCCAGACCTCGCCGTTTTTATCTGTGCACCGCTACCATACATTCATGTCTGGGCCAAGTCAACGGCCAAGTCACGTCAGGGTGAGCCGCCCTGGGCTGTGTAGTGCTGCCCCCGCAGTAACTGTGCTCCCCCGGCAGCCCAGTTCGAGAGCGGCGGCAGCGATAGCGATAGCAGCGAGAACGGCAGCGAGAGCGTACAGTTTTAGCCAACGCTGCAGCTGCTGCGAATCGCAGCCTGCGATAGCGATACGCGCCTGCGCAGAGCAGCCAAAGTGATCAAAACATTGGTTTTAGCAAAAGACAACGTTCCAAATTTTTTGGGTTTTCTAGTTAACTATAAGGTTTTGAAAAAAACCTATTTAGACATAGACTAATTAAAGGGCGAGGAATCTAATGGTGAAATCAAAAATAAGATTGGAGTTTGTTTGGTATTTAAAATCGCTTATCTAAAAAGTGATCAAATTTTGATAAGGCACTTCCGGTTACTTTATCTAAATTTTGAGATAGCCATTTTGTGGCGGCTATTTTTCTGATCGTTCCAGTCAAAACTCCATGTTTCTAAGCCTAGTAGTCTATTTAATGCGGTCAAAAAAGTGACAACTAAATACAGCTGAAATCAGATAAACCGCCATTTTAAATACTTTTGTTTATCTGATCAACTCGAGTTTAGTACTGTTAGAAAGATGCCATTTAGTTTGATCTTTTGGTAAAAACCGTTTTTCAATATCTTTAACGGTGTAATTTATAGAGCAAAAAGAGTCAGTGAAGAGAGAGAAATAGAGGAAGAAAATCATTTTTTTAGGGAAGAAGGATTAGCTGATTGTCTCAGATTGGTCATTTTTTAAAAAAATTTTAAATTTTTTGAAAATAATTAGTTTTTTGTTTTTTGTTTTAGTTTGTTTAAAAACAAATTTGTTTGCAAGTATTTTAATGTAAAGCAAAATTTGTTTCATTTTAATTGAATTTTTACATGGTTTGATACCGTTGTTGTTACGTTAAACTATCCATTATCACACTGATGAAAAAACACAAAAAAACTTTAAGCGTTTTGCAAAAACAAAAACAGAAAAAACAATTATCATGCAATTGCTAAGTTTTAATTCTATTTTGCTATTTGAGCTCATTGTCATCTGCCGACCAACTAATTTTTACTCGTTTTCACGCACAAAAAACAAGTGTTCTACAAAAACGTTAAAACAATTGTACAATGGCAATAACATGACACCATTGCTTGTTTGTACCTAAGTAAACATTTGCCACTCGAAAAACAATGTTAAAATTGTACCTAATCTTACAATTGATTTGATGAAAAAGAACAGCTAATTTTAATTTGATTTTTTGCTTTTTTCTAAAACTTACGGGCATTTGTTATTTTTTTGTTAAAAATCTAAACTAACTTGAAACATTTTGTTAATTGTGTTTTGTTAAAAAAATAAATATTTTTTGTTTTTTTATATTTTTCAATTTAACTTTAAAAATACAACAAAACAAATATTTTGGTTTTGTTGTACTTTTAAATTAATCAAAAAACGTGTGTCAGTTTTTGCCGCATGTTTGTTAAGCATTTTTTTAAAAAGTTTCATCTATCTAATTTATTAGTCAAAAAAGCTTCTTAGACGTTGTTTTCACTTTTTCAAATAAAAGCATTTTTATATTTTTAACATTTTTTTCAACAAAAACTAGTTTTTTACCTGTCATCGTGTTTGTCTGTTTTGTGTGTATGTGTGTTTTTTGGCACACTATAATTTATGCATTCTTTCTTTTCTTTTTCTTTAACTGGCAATTCTGAAGTTGCTTTACTACTGCAAACTGCAAAATTTACCTTTTTTCTCCACATTCTCAAATCATCAAGTTTTGCCTTTCAAGTTCTGGCTACTTTTTTCAAATTTAGCCTGCTGTCTACTTTGCATCTCTTTTCTCCACCTACTGCCACTCTTTTTTACCTTTTTAAATGCTTCAATTTATCTTTTGATGTTTAACAAAAAAACACAAAATTTCAAGTTGAGTTTGTTTTTCAGACTTGCTGTTAGTGCAGCTACCACTGTTTTGTTACTTTTAAATTTTCATACAAATTTTCAAAAAAACAAATGAGTTCTTCAAATAAACAAAAATGCTGGCAGTTCCTGTTTTGCATTTAATGTTTTGCCAATCACTAACTGCCAGAAAACAACAAGTAAAAGACTATAAAATTGAAAATTGCTAAAACAAATTTTTTGTTTTTTTATTTGGTTTTCAAAAACAAAATCAAAAACCAATAAAAAATTTATTTTGATTAATTTTTAATCAACGTTTTATGATTAGTTTCTTTATCACTTACCTCACTGTAGGAACCGCCCACCACGCCGGTGATGTGCTTCCAGCCGTACTTTGAGCGGGGCATGCCGCCATCTCGGCACTCAAACGCCGACGCCTCCACCGTGTTGATGGACGCCCTGATGAACTCCAGCGACTGGTTTAGGGCGTAGGTGTCCGAAGAACAGGTGTCAAGGATGATGGCGCCCAGTTTGATGTTGCCCAGCAGCGATGAGTCGTTGTTGATCTTGTCAATGGCAAAGAGCATCGCCTCCAAACGCTGGATGCCTCGATCTTTGTTTATTGGCCCGCAGTGGGTGCTGTTTAAGCCTGAACGGAGAAAAAAAGAAACAAAATTGGTCATTAGTAAGGAAAATTAATTAAAAGCGGCTAGACAAACGGTTTTTTCTGAATTTCAAACGAGATAAAGAGTTTGGCCCTTTTAATTGCAGCTAGTTTTAGTTAGTTTTATCTTGTGAATTATTTGTTACACTAGAAACAAAAGTAGAAACATTGCACTAATCTTCCAACTTTTTTATTTTTCAAATCAAAGTCAAGTTCATTTAAAGGATGACCATTGCCAAAAAAATGTGTCTAGTCATGTTTTTGCTAGTTTAAGTGTTTGTTAAAGATAACGACAAACTAAGCCGATTAGAAGTGAGTTTTATTAAAGTTAGTGGGTGTTGCTTTTTTGCGTTTTTTAATTTTTTTGTAACTTTAAGCAATTAACAACCAGATTTTTGTTTTAAAAGCAACAGAATACCGGATTAGCCAAACAAAAATAAACTACTCAAATGCAAAATAAAAAGTTTTAACGATTAGTGCAAAAAGTATACTTTACTAACCAAATATTTTTGAAACTAACAGAATTTGCAAAAAAACGCTGAAATCCAGCAAACTTTAAGTACTATTTATACGCTTACCCTCAACTTTGACTCTTAAGTCTTCTTTCCTTCAATTTTCTACAACTAACCATACTAATCACCGCTTTGCTTTTTAATTGCTTGCAGATGCACTGCTCTAGATAAATTGAATTGGCTTGATTTTAGTGCAAAAGAGGGTGATTACAACAACAACAACAACCATTTAAGCAAGTTTACCATTTCCAACTTTAGTAGTAAGATTTATAAATGATCTTGAACTTTTGCTACTGTATTTGTTGTTGCTGTTGCCGCACAGATTAAGTAATTGTACAGTAATTTGCCATTACAGCCGCTTCCAACTAATGTCCGACAAAAGTGATACCAATAATTTTATTTATTAAGCGCTTTTTTAGCTTTTAGAGCTAAATTGTATTAACTTTTTGAGTTTTCTAATAAAAACAAAATTTGTTACACAACGATTGACGATATCAAAAATAATTAGTTTGTTTTGTCACACATGAAAAAAAGATTGTGCAAAATGTTAAAAAAAATGAAATAAAAAAGTTGTATTTGAGTATGGAAATGCAAGTTGTCAATTTATCATACTTTTGGGTTGCTATTATTTTTTCAATCTTTTTTATAAGTAATTTGGTGTGAAATTAGACAAATGTCCGATAAGTTAAACAAAACGAAAATCATCTTTCTAATAATGACTGAGTATAAAGAATGCACCGTAATCAAAATCAAAGTTGCTATTATTGTTTGAAATAAAATTAATAAACACACATATTGATTGACTGACTGATTGACAAAAATCAAAAAGTTTTTTGATTAAATAAAAAATACAAAAATATTTTTATTTGCAAATATTATTTTTGTTTTAAAAATATTTTGTTTTTTAAAATATTTTAATGAAGTTGGAAATAATTTTAAATTATAAAAAATATTGGTATCTCAAAAAACAAACAAAAGATTTTTTATTTTAAAAGACAAAATATGATTACAACAAGCAAAAAATCAATTACCTGGCCAGTTTCGTGACAATCTTCATCTTTTTTTAATTTTCAAACTATCTCTATCAATTTTCACTTTCATTTAAGTTATAGTAACTGTAAAATTCATCAACAAACGGTCTGAAAAAGCCGTTTGCTTGAAGTTGAGTTAATTTCAGTTGTCGGTTTGCGTTATTAATAACTTTTTTGAACGCAACACAAAAAGTGAAAAAAAATTGAAACTAAACTAAACCGTAAAAAGGGAAAAACAATGTCTCATTCTTTCCATTTAGCTTGCCTTCAAGTGATTGCTTTTTTCCGATGTCTATTTTTCAACCGCAGAGACACACACACTAGCAATTTACTAGCCAATTCACCGGATAGATAGATAGAGATAGATAGATAGATAAATAAGGAAGTTTGTGCCCTGTTTAGTTCAGTTTTGCTTTTTTTGTTTTGTTTTGCTTTGCCTTTGCAGGTAATAGACTTTGAAGGAGGCAGGCAGGACAAAAATACTGACCGGACAAAAAGACCAATGAAAAGAGGAGAAAAGAGCAAAATGAAAAGATGCTTGTGCGTTTTTGCCATTTTTCCCCTTAGCAGCATTGATTGCATCTAGTATTTAGGCCTTTGTCCATTCTTTTTTATCATAAAAAAGTTTTTGTTTTTGTTTTCACTGACTGTTTATTTTTTCTTTTCTTTCTCCTTCTCTATTTCTTTGGTTTACTTTTGCCGTTCTCCGTTATCATCATCATCATTATCATCATCATCATCATTTTGGGGTATCTTTCAGCAACAACAGCAACATCAGCAGCAGCAGCAGCAGTACCTTTTTATTTTTGCTTTTTTCCCTTTTCTCATTTTCCCCTCAATATCAGTTCAATAAATTGCCTTAGTTTTGAGAGAGCAAAGGAAAGAGGAAAAGATGCCGACAAGCCTGGTATTAATAGATCACCGGTCGCCAATGAGATATGTGTGTTAGAAGAGAGGCTAGGAGCAAAAGAAAAAAAAGAGCGAGAGGAGCCAGAGTGTATGGGGAAAGGGAACTACTACTACTACTACTACTCAAAAGACTAATGAAAATATTACTTCAAAAGTGCACGCGCGACCACTCAATAATAATGGAAAAGGGGGAAGAAAAACAGAATTGAACTGAAGGGAACTGAACTGAGCTGAACTAAAAAGTGTGGGAAGTGTGTGTGGCGGTCATAACCAAGAACTTCGAAATGTGTATGTGTGTGTGTGCGTGAACTGTCTTTGAAAGTTGCTGCTTCTGCTGGAACATTATTATTAATAGCTTCGAAAAATTGAGGCCCAGGAGGAGAAGGAGGAAAAAGGGGAGGAAATGAAGGGGGTGATAAAAGGGGGTGATGACTGCAGACAGTGGACATCTTTTTAGCATTTTGAACTACTACTACTTTTTTAGTACTGGAGATGCTGATGATGACAGAAAGAATGAAAAGGTAAAAGACAGTTTACAGCAATTGAAAAAAGGTATTAATGAAGCTAGGTTCTAATTTGGATTTTTTTCACCAGTGCTCTAAACAAAACAAGTTTCTATGTGTCTATTTAAAACGTTTACCGGTCATTTGTTTATTTTGCTTGTGTTCAGTTATTTTATAATTGAATTTTTCTGTTTTTAACGATCAGACTAAAATTTTAAAAAATATTTTTAAAGCGTTTAGTTGCAGTGTACTCAGCAGTTTAGAATGAAACGCAAATTATTTTTATTTAATGTGCAAGCATCACCACCGCCACTGCTTCTACTGCTGCTGCTATCATTTCCTCATTTACACTTTTTTTGTTTTTATTATTAGAAATTATATGATAAATTGATATCACATCAGTGCAAAAAAAGCAACGAACTTTGGGAATAGCAATTCTTCAATTCTTCTAAATTGGTAATAGTAGTGTATGTGTGGTCTGAAAAGTCTTGTAACAACTCAGACTTTTTTGCACAACGACATTGTAGCTGTTTTTGCAACTACGGTCTGCAGCTTACAAGGCATCTCCGCAAAACTAACACACACACACCACTACAACAATAACGACAGAAAAAAAAGTCTGCTGACTGGTTAGTTAGTTTGGCCATAAGCGGCCCATGGCTTAGTCATTAGTAAAAACCTGGCTTTGTTGCAGCAACTACAACAGTCAGTAACCAGTTTTTTCATTATCGGTTTTTTGCTTTTTCAGTTTCACACATTTTTACTGTTTTTCTAATAAAAAATCAGAAATTTTTTTGTCGGGTTTGACCGTCCTGAATATCAAGTTTATTAAAAACTAAATTTAATTAACGCGGCTATATACTTTTCAAAATTGATAAAAACGTAACATCAACATAGAAGTTTATAAAAAGTTAATAAAAAGTTAATAAAAAATGTTTTTTAAATTATTTAAATACAAAGAAGCGGTTTGGTAACGTGGCGCGCAAAGAGATTTACAAGCATGACGTAGTCCATACTAATTTTTAATGGTAGAGGGAGCAGCTTATAAAGCATTTACAGAGGTTTCGAACTTCGCGTGAGCAAAGCCACGTCACCAGCGGCCTGGTGGCCGCTACTACAATTAAACAAAACAAAAGTTAGTTCACGCAAAAAAAGGTGTAAATTGAAAAAACAAATAACTTGAAACTTTAAAATTACAAAACTTTTGACTTTATTTCTAATTTTTTTAACAAAAAATGTGTGTGTGCCCACATAAAACTTCCAATCAGATTCAATCAGCAAGCGTTGACCCACTCCACTCTTTCCTTTTCCCTTTGGCATCAAAAATATGATTTAATTTGCCACGGCTCGGTTCACACCTCTCACCCAGACACACTTCTGTGCAGTAAAGAGGACCGGTGTGTTGCCCCCAGCACTGACGACGGCGACGGCATCAACGGCAGAACTCGTTAATAACTCAATTACCGTTTTATTAGCAGCAAACAGACAGACAGACCGAGTGAAAAAGAAAACAGAGGAAACTGTAAAGAAAGGAGAGAGAGAAGAAAGCAGACTATCGAATGGTCATTAGCAACTGAAAGAACAGAAGCAGCAACATCAGCTGAAGTGACAATCACAGCAGCATCGGCAGCAGCAGTTTTAGGAACACTGAGTTTGCACTGATTTTTGCACACTATTCCACACACTCAGTTTTCTGACCCTGGGTGAAATTGTCACCACCATTGCCATCACCATCATCACCACTAGCAGCAGCAGCAGGAACAGAAGCATTTCTATCGGCCACTAGTCACTCTTGGAAAATTGGTAGGGCACCAATCGCCACCAACGGCGTCGGCAATATATCATTTGCCTCGTTAATTGCCATTACGGTTCAGCTGCCCAGTGGCTGCAAATGATATTGCTGCAAATAACCGGCCAAAATGACATAAGCAGTTTGGAAAGGGAAAAATTAGAGAGAGAGCAGGAACAGCTGACCACTGCCAACATTACCACAGTCTCCATCAATTGGTGCTAATAATTGGCCACCGCCG